AAAGCCATTCAGCAAGACTCTAGGAAGTTCCAAACTTTCCCACATTTTTCTCTCTGAATGTGAGCCCTCCAAACCATTCCAACCTCTTCCTGTTACCCAGTTCTACAGTTTCTTTCACATTTTTGGTATCTTTTTATCAGTGCCCCACTCTACTGGTACCAACTTACTGTATTAGTTCATTTTCATGCTGCTGATAAAGATATACTCAAGGCTGGGCAATTTGCAAAAGAAAGAGGTCTATTGGACTCACAGTACCATGTAGCTGGGGAGGCCTCACAATCATGGCAGTAGGTGAAAGGCACATCTCATTAGCAGCAGACAAGAGAAGAGAACTTGTGCAGGAAAACTGTGGTTTTGAAACCATCAGATCTGGTGAGACTGATTCCCTATCAGGAAAACACCATGGGAAAGACCCCACGATTCAATTATCTCCCACCAGGTCCCTCCCACAACACATGGGAATTTGGGGAGCTACAAGATGGGATTTGGGTGGGGACACAGCCAAGCCATATCAAAGAGTCTAGTTCTTGTCAGGCATGTTTCATCATTCCAGAGAAAGAATAGTTGATAAAGTAAAACAGATGGAGTTTGGAATTGCTGAAAGCGTATGTTTTTATTGTATGAGTGTGGAGGGTCAGGCATTTAGTGAATACATGAATATAGAGTATGTCAGGTAGTTAACAATGCTATGGGGTATGCTTTTACTTAACATCAGGAAGTCTTCTCCAATCATGTGATAATTGTGCAGAGGCCTAAAGAAAGTGAGAAACTCCTATACTAAAGCTGTATATGCTTTGCCGAGGGAAGAAAGGGTCTACCAGGCAGAAAAGAGCAAAGTGCAAAGTATCAGAAATAAATCATAAATATTAGACCTCTTTATGTTTCTCCTTCAGAAGAGAATTTTTTGTTTTCCTTTCACACCACATTGATCAGATCCTTTTGTAAAAAAAAAAAAAATTAAACATTAAAAAAGCCTCTATAAGATACAGATTCCTGCATATATTTAAACTCCAATTATATACTCATTGGTATAATGAGAAACAATTACCTCAACTACTTAAGTGTACACTCTTTGAGGCTAGTGACTGGGTTTCCATCAAAAAATAGGTATTGGTCGGGCATTGTGGCTTATGCCTGTAATCCCAATATTTTAGATGGCTGAGGCAGGAGAATTGCTTGAGCCCAGCCCAGGTATTTGAGACCAACCTTGACAACATAGCAAGACTCTGCATAGATATATATACACATATATGTGTGTGTGTGTGTGTGTGTGTGTGTGTGTGTGTGTATAAGCCAGGCATGATGGCATGCACCTATAGTCCCAGCTACTTGAGAGGCTGAAGCAAGAGGATTGCTTGAGTCCAGAAGTTTGAAACTGCTTGAAACTGCACTGAGCTATGATCACACCACTGAACTCCAGCCTGGGCAACAGAGCAAGACCCTGTCCTAGAAAAACAGCAACAACAAAAAGAAAGTAGACATTGCTTCATAGAAGAGAGACTCCAAATAAAGTATCTTCGAGAAGTCAAAGACATGTTGTTCTTGCATATAACTGTTATTCTTTGTCGGGCAGCTCCCGGTCATCAGAAACCTGTAATATATCATATTTCTCCAGTATTCTCAGAATATTTCTGTCTTTTCCAGTGTATTTCATTATTATGTTAACAATCTAGGGTGCAGAATAGTGGCAGATTATCGAGTGCAAGAAAGAAAATCTCTCCCTTTGTGGTCATGACCCAGAAGTTGCACATAGCACTTCCCCTCATATTCCATTAGGCATATCCTAGCACGTGACCACTCCAAGCCAAAAGGGAGGTTATGCAGGCATATGTTCTGGGTAAATAATGCTATTTCCAAGAACGAAGCAAAGGGTAGATATTGAAAGACACCTGGTGGTACCTGCTACACAAAGGGGAAGGAATGAGGAAGACAGAGGCCTAGAGATACATACGTGAGTCAGCATGCTCAAAGAGAACTGAATTGAGTACCTTGACTAAAAGCAGGTAGGGTTATGACTGGAAGACAAAGCAGAACCTTAAAAATTCTGCAAAACATCTGAAGAAAAAGCTGAAAGTATTTTTCAAAGTGCTTTATTGCATAGTTGAATCACAACTTAAATTGGTATTAGGGAGCATGAATGAAGCTTAAACATCACAGCCTAAAGTGAAAGTCACTTTAGTGTTGAAATTATCATTGTCTTTCCTTTGATAAATGACACACTGAAGACCAGCAAACCATCTACTAATACTTTTTTTTTTGGAAACAGAGTTACACTGTATTGCCCAGGCTGGAGTACAGTGACAAGATCTCAGCTCACTGCAACCTCTGCCTCCCAGATTGAAGCAATGATCCTGCCTCAGCCTCCTGAGTAGATCAGCTTGCAGGTGCGCACCACCACACCCACCTAATTTTTTGTATTTTTAGTAGAGAGTGGGTTTCACCATGTTGACCAGATTGCTGTCAGACTCCTGGCCTCAGGTCATGCTCCCACCTCGGCCTCTCAAAGTGCTGGGATTACAGGCATGAGCCACTGTGCCTGGCCTATGAATACTTTCAATAGTCAGTTTTCTTCCTATGTATGAACAGGTTGCTGTTTCCTCAGCTGCACCATATAAAGGATCTACATTGCATAGAGTAGACTATAGGAAAAAAACATTGCTTTCTTGACCTTTAAACATTGGGATCCACCTTCAAACCACAGAAGGAAACAGAAGTCAATTGAGGGGATTATAGATTCATGTAATTTACTAAGGGCATACATTCATAGAGTGGAGATTGCAAACGTTTTCTGTAAAAGGCTGGATGGTAACTACTTTAGGTCTAGTAGGTCAGATGGCCTTTGCTGCAAAGACTTGACTTTTGCTGTTGTGCCACTAAAGTTGCTATAGATAATATGGGACTAAATGGGCATAGTGGTTTTCCAATAAAACTTTATTGACCTAAGCAGGTAGCTGAAATTGGCCTGAGAGCCCTAGTTGGCTGAATCCTGATCTAAATTGTTAGCATAATTACTTTTTATTGGGGTGGGGAGCATATTTTCTTTTTGACTTTACCAAAGGTAAATAAGCATGTAATGTTGCTCCCCTTCTTAACAGAGACTCAGAGTATACCATAGTGTTTCCTCTCTTGCTAATTACACAGCACAAAGATTCACGTGGTAGAAGCAGAGGAAGGAATAGCCATAGGTGTCAGGAGTTTTAGGAAGCAAATTTGAGCTGAGCCATAAAAAAATGCATATACATTTAGAAAGTTCTCCTTCTATAGCATCACAATCCGTGATGCCTGCAACAATTTCAAGTCTGAACTGGGTCAAATCTGTATAAATTTATTCCACGTTTAATGGCTTTCTGAAATGTAAGCACTATGATTTTACCACTGGGCAGAAACAAATGCACATTTATTGCTTTCCATTATTCCCCCATCCATGAACAACAGTAGCGGCTCACTAAGACATTAAAGGATCTCACACTCCATGGCTGCAGTCACCACATAAAAGGCTGGTTTAAAGAGCAAACTTTAATTAGAGTTTGGAAAAAGCATTTTTGTTTAAGTAAAATGAAAACACAGGTGGTTTAGTGAGTTCACTCTGAATATAAACCCCCCAATGCCATTTAAAAAGCAGAGTAGCTAAAGGATTTCATTTTTCTGGTCAGCTCTATCCCAGGTAGAAACAACAACCCTACCATTTTTGAGAACATGGGGTGTTCAAGTGCATTTGACCTTTGGCCAGCTGTTACATGGTTTAATATTCTCTAACTAGAGAGAAAGGCTCTCCAGTCAATGCTAGACAGTTTTCAAGGGTCATATTGCGTATGCCTTTAGTTTTCCATGGCTATGTTTAAGTTTTCTCAGGAGCATGATGTTTTTGGCCCCTGTGCACTGCAAACTTCTCCACTCCACACTACCACTATTGGAGGAATATTATGCTTCTTTTTAATATCTCTGGTTAGAGCCTAGTCCATCATCTTGTGTTTCCAGTTCTTTCTATTTTTCATTAATGAAGATTTTTATGCATCTAGAAAGAAAATAGTCCCAAACTACAACCAGTGACTGATTTGCTGACAATCACTCATGAGTGTCATCACCAAATATTTAATGTGGTCTTATTTTGAATGCTGGATGAACAACTAATACATAATGATTGAAGATCTAAGCTGAAGTTGGCTGGGCACGGTGGCTCAAGCCTGTAATCCCAGCACTTTGGGAGGCCGAGGCGGGTGGATTATGAGGTCTAGAAATCGAGACCATCCTGGTCAACATGGTAAAACCCCGACTCTACTAAAAATACAAAAAATTAGCTAGGCATGGTGGCGCGTGCCTGTAATCCCAGCTACTCAGGAGGCTGAGGCAGGAGAATTGCCTGAACCCAGGAGGCGGAGGTTGCAGTGAGCTGAGATCGTGCCATTGCACTCCAGCCTGGGTAACAAGAGCGAAATTCCGTCTCAAGAAAAAAAAAAAAAAAAAGATCTAGGCTGAAGTAACAGTCTGCTTACAAGTGCCCCAGGCTTAAGTCGAGAGTAATGTTTGTCAATGGCAAGCACTAAGATGTACACAGGTTTTTAAAGCTGGATTGCTGAGGTTCAAATTAGCTACTTTCTGGTATGGGAATTTATAAAAACTGCCTTCCTGTTGCTCAATGTCCCCATCTGAAAAATGGGAGTGATAATATAGTATTTACATTAGAGAAATTTTTTGAGGATGAAGGAGATGACATGTGAAAGACATTTAGAATGAAGACTGGCCTGTCATAAGGGCTACAGTAGCGTTAGCTATGACAGTTCTGATGGTATGTGCCAAAGGTTAAGCGCTTGTTCTCTATTAAGAACTTAACACACATCATTTCATTTACTCTTCAATCAAATCTGGAAAGTTGTGTGTTTGAGAAAACAGATCTGAAATTTGTAGCTCAGCGTTTTACAACAGAATGAAAAAGCCAGTATGACTTCTAAACTCATAACACAAAAGCAGAATGAAAGGATTTAAGGGTACTTTTCTCACAGACTAAATTTAAAAAGGTTGGTTGTTTTTCAGAGCACATGCATTTATAAACATTGTAACATAGATTTTCATACTTTCTAAGTACAAGAAATTCTTGCAAAAATATGTATATTTAATATATTATCTCCTTTGAAATCATCAAGAATACTTTATGCCTTAGTACAGATGGTATCTTGAGTTAGAATCACATGTCGGTAGCATTGATATTGCAGTCAGCATCTTATCATCATCCTTGTCCAGTTATATGATTATTTTTGCAAAATTAAAGGTATCATTTCTTTAATAATGCTTTTCCATTTCCTCAAAATTATTACTAATATTTCTCACGTTACTAACTCTTAAATAAATGTATGACATATTATAATGGTCATTTGGTCTTTTTTGCGGCATTTTATACTATTTAACTTCCTTTCCAGGTTATTGATTTCTTAGTGCATTTTAGTGCATTATCTCTAGCTTTTACATAACAGTGTTAGAGAATATTTAAGAAGATTTTAAATTATAATAACAGTGTAAGCACAAAGCTTGAAACGCCAAAGCATCTGCAGAAGTTTCAATACAGGTAAATAGCTGTGAGATTCAAGTAACACCAACCACGAATGTTAGTATTTCTATTTGACACATAAGTGGCACTTCCTTTTAACAAAAGTACAGTATCTAACTTACCTAAATTGTAAGCTTGAAAGTTTTGTGATCCTTGATGTATTTTGAAGACTTGGGAGATATCACATAATTTCAAATTAGGCACATATGATTATAACTTTATATAATATTATGATTTTATATTTCAAATGCACATAAATGCTTCCAGACTGCCTATGAGTATAGCTTCTGAACCCCACTATTCCTGTTTTTTCATAGCCTCACCAAGTAACCCTCATGATTCTTCTGTTGTGTTGCTCATTGCATTGATTTCACCTGAGTATTTTGGCATTTAAATACAAACATCACATTCAGAGAAAAGCATTTATCACTTCTGACTTCTGAGCATAGATAGCAACCCCAGATCTTGTGATGACCAGAAGTCTTCCACTCATGTCATGAGGCCCAGCAGGGAGCTAGTATCTCCCTTTCAAAATTAATAGGTGCAATAAGCCTTCAAGTCTATTGATCACTCTACACATTCCCTGTGTTCTGGTATCATGCTCACTCTGGTATACTTTGTGTCCAACACGGTGTGGAAAGAACAAAGTAATGGGGCCAGAAGCAAAAGATAATTATCCAAGCGATGAGTTCAGAAACCTGGAGAAAAATCAAAAGAAGAATCTTAAGAACAGATTAAGCCACATGAACTGTAATTGAGAGTAAAATTAGTAATAACTTAAAGTGAGCATTTTCAGCATGCAAGGCATTATTATATTCAGTGTGTTAGATGAATTATTTTGTGCTTTTATTGTCACAACAACCTATGTGGTGAATAAAATGAATGGCCTAATTATATCAATTGGGGGATGATTACATAATGTTCAGTGTTAGTAACTGAAGTCTTGCTAAAAGAGAAAGTGCAAAAATAAGAAGGAAGGATATGAAAGAAAAAGAATGAAAGAAAAAGAAGGTCTTAACCTTCAAAAATTCTTACACAAAGTGAGATTTCAGAATATAGTGTTGATTTTGAACCTCAATGAAGTGGATATTAATAAAAAATTACTTAAATCTCTTAAATATTTTTGAAAACTAAATAGGCCAGTGCAGTGGCTGACAATTGTAATCCCACCATTTTGGGAGGCTGAGGCAGGTGGATCACGAGGTCAGGAGTTTGAGACCAGCCTGGCCAAGACGGTGAAATCCATCTCTACTAAAACTACAAAAACTAGCCAGGTGTGGTGGCAGGGGCCTATAATCCCAGCTTCTCAGGAGGCTGAGGCAGAAGAATCGCTTTAGCCTGGGAAACAGAGGTTGCAGTGAGCCAAGATCACGATGCTGCACTCCAGCCTGGGTGACAGAGTGAGACACTGCCCGCCCCCAAAAAAGGAAATATATGAGGTCAACCAAGAACTAGGAGAACCAAACAAGAGAGTAGTGTTCTCATAGCTATGGAAAACTGCTTAAGACTGCATTAGTAGAAGCAAAGTATGTAGGTCACAGGAAGGACTTTTGTCTTATTACTAAGAGATAGGTGATGGTAGCTATCTAGTATAATGATTGTTTTTGAAACTGAATGTAATATGTATTGTGTAGCTAATGTGATGCACTCTATGATTAGAATATTTGAAACACATTGGTAATTAATCACCACCCTCAAGCCCTCTGAGCTCATATGTTCCTCAGAAGTTGTCTTGAGGCAGGACTTTCAACAACCACGACAGATTGATTGGACTTGTCAATGCAAAATATGATGCATTTTCACTTCCAGAAACTGTCAAGTACAACTATGCAACAATTTTATTATTATTTGGGTTACAGATCTGTCTTGGATGATTGAATAATAATTATTATGTTCTTAAAATGCTATTATTATGGTTATTCTGCTTTTCAAAGAAAATACTGCATTCAGCAGTCCCACTCTAATCATGGAGTTTCTGAAACCACTATAACAGAGCTGAGGAAGTTGAGGAGAGTAAGAGTTGAAGAAATTCACAACTGATGGGGGGAAAAAATCAATAAAACTAATGTCAAAAGTGAACACACAGAAACTTGCACATGTACCTACATGTGTGTATTTTGATGGCATATTCTCACTAGTTCCCTGTGGTAATATGACTTAGCTCAACTGAGCTACTTTTTGTATAATTCTCTTCTTTATGTGGTTCCAAGTGAGATAGAGCTACAAGAGAGATTTGGAGAATTTCTGGAAAGAGATGAAGAAAGAACCAGTTTGAAACTTGGAACACAAACAGTGTGCTAGTCACTATGACATCTTGAGCATGTCTTCATTGATGTACTTAGTTGAGTGAAGGAAAGCTGCCTAGCCCCAGCTACTCCCAATCCTACCAGGTTTCTCCCTTCACATTCTGCAAATCCTGGGCTGGATGTGTAATCAGCTTCATGGCAAAAGGTGTCAAATTCTCCTGTAGGTCACCTGCACCATCAGTGTTGGCAACCACAAGATACAGATGTGGGTATCTGTGAAGATGTTTGTCTTCATAAGTTTCTGATGGTCTTTGCTCTCCTACACTTGTGTTTCCAGACCCATCAGATGCCTCAGCTAACTTATGGATCATTCAGGCCCACCCAACACTAACTGCAAAGACAATGCTCTTGCATAGACTTTTTTTTTTGAGATGGAGTTTTGCTCTTGTTGCCCAGGTTTGAATAGCAGTGACGAAATCTCATCTCACTGCAACCCCTGCTTCCCAGGTTCAAGGGATTCTGCTGCTTCAGCCTCCCAAGTAGCTGGGAATACAAGCATGCACCACCATTCCTGGGTAATTTTTGTGTTTAGTAGAGATGGGGTTTTACCATGTTGGTCAAGCTGGTCTCGAACTCTTTACCTCAAGTGATCCACCTGGCCCGGCCTCCCAAAATTCTGGGATTACAGGGTGAACAACTGCCCCGGCCACATAGACTTCTTAACTAGCCCCCATAATTGTGTAAAGTCTAATTCCAGAAAATAAACCCTTATACTTTGTTACAGAGATTTAGCTTTTCTGATAGAAACCTGATGGCTGTAATAACTAAAATTTAAAGGGTAAGATATCTTTTGTTGCCATGGATTTAAATACAAGCTTTACCATTAATTGGCTGGGTGATCCTTGTATGTTGCTTAGCATTTATAAACCACAGTTTCCTAATCTTTAAAATGGAGGCAATAACATCTCTCTTTTAAGATTCATATGAGGATTAATGAAGTAATATAAATAGCTAATTTATCTTTGGACCAAGCTTGCACTATGACCTTAATGAAAGATAATGGATATTGTCACTTGTGAGTTCATCACTTGTTAGCTTTATGATTTTAATATATCATTCATTTTAGCAAAGCTTAAGTTACACTGTGGCTGTTTTAAAATTAAGAGAAAATGTTTTAATATTACCTGCTCCGAAATCTATGTAGAAGAATGAACCCTAATATAAACTCTGATCTTTAAGTGATAATGTTGTATTAACATACATTCATCGTTTATAACAAATGCACCACTCTGGTGGGTGATGTTGATAATGTGGGAGGCTATGAACGCAATGAGAGAGGGAGTATATGAGATATCTCCGTTCCTTCCTCTCACTTTTGGTGTAAACCTAAAACTCCTCTTTTAAAAAAAGCTGTTAAAATGTAAAAATAAAATAACACTTTAGTAATTACCTAGGCAACTCCTTGATCTATTTGGTACTCAATATATTAAATAGCACAATGAGTAAAGCATAATTATGTTCGATATGTTTTAATCAATAAGTTATGTATGTTCATTTAATTTCTATTTATTCTTGCCTTAATAATAATTTCAGGCTTTCCTTATTCAACAGTTGTAATAAGTTGCTGGTAAATAATTGAGCATTGCTGATGATACTATTTAATTAACAGGCATAATTTTTCTACATTTTGTTGTCCATTTTAAAGCCTAAAGCTCTCTGATGTTGTACTTAAGAATATTGATCTACCATCTTCTGGAACATTTATGGTCTCATAGAAGGAGAAAAGCACTGACTGTTCAGTCCCTCTTATTCATAAGCTGCCCCCTATATCCTAACACATAAGACCACATAGTTCAAATCTGACTTTAGTTTCTCCCTACCTTTATTCCTCCACTGGTGATTGCAAAATCCTCATTCATACTGTGTGCTGTTTGGCTCTCTCTCCTAGTTGCTGTGACCACTTTCCAGTTTTCTTCAATATTCTCATGAGGAAAAGTCCACATCTTAGGTATAAGGAAAACAAAATCCTTACATTTACAAAAAGTCTGAAGTTATATGTTTTATCTATGTGAAGCAAAATTTGTAGTTGAGAAGGTATTACTGTATCATTAATAATTTATTTAATGGGAAATAGGAAGTACACACATGTTGACAATATTAGACAAGAAAGGGTTAATTCTGTATTCTGGGATTTAGCCCATCTTATTCATTTTCTTTTACACACTGAATATATTGCAAATAATCTTTGTGGTCTGCTCTGTTTTCTGAGATGAATTTTTAAATTCATGAGTAATTTTATACTGCCTTTTAAAAATATTTAAATAAATTTGTGAATTCAGGCATGCTTTTATGTCTCAATTTAGGTTTGTCCTTAATGTTTTGCTTTCTCATTTGTCCCATCTATCCACTGGTACCCCATTCCCAGTTTCGCTCTGTGCATCCAGTGGTCTAGCTAAAGCCCTTGTACCTGTGTTTATGCTCTAACAGAAGACAGAGGATAATGATCATGTCGATTTCTTCTGCTTCCATTGAAAGTCTATTCCTTTTTAACTATAAATTTCCTGTGGTTTGGTTGAAGCATACTGATAATTTTCAAGATTCTTTTTTATTTTTGGTTTATTATTCTTGCCCTGTGAAATAATTTTTCCAAAACCTTCTGCTATTTCTCTTCGCATTCCTCTGTCCTCAGAATGTTATTAGTCTAGACATGGCCTCTCTCTCTTCTTTTGTCTGTGTGCCTTCTTTCACTTTTCTTAGAATTTATTTTAACTCTGTCACTCTTCTATATGCCTTCTCTATGATTTCTCTCTCATGTTTGTGAGAAGTTTAGGGCTATATCTAAGAATGTTTATTATTAGATACCTAATGGCTACATAACCCAGTCACTCACATCCATTCCACCTATTTTCCTTCTGAAATTTCCATTGGAACAGCACTGTAGATAAGCAAGGGGAAGAATGGAGCTTCAGAAAACTAGAATTATTGTCTATTCAACCTGTACCTATATCTGCAGAATAGGAGCTTCATGGTGGGTAGTGGTACTGCTAGTCATAGTCTCACCCCGAGCTGACCCCTCTGCCTGGGCCCCATCATTCCCACTCCTGTCCCCCCTGGAATCAGGTAAGGTGAAGTGAGCTTTGTGCTACCCTGTCCTCCCTTGCCAGAGAAGAAACTCCCACCCCATCCTCCCATCTCTGGGGGCACAGCCCTGCACCCTCCCCGCCGACACCATTCCCTGACAGTTCTCCTTGCAAACAGGTCTATACAGGTGTTTTTTATTTCACATGAGGTACACTTTCCAACCAAATATAGTCAATTTTTCTAAAAAAAAAATCTTTACTTCTAACATGTTCCATAACTCTGTTATCAATAATTTAAATAGATTGCTTTATATAAACAATATTCTTGCCCTCTATATTTAAAAAGTGGGTTTATGTGACTTTATTTAATTAAGATTACTATAATAACATTTCCTCCGCTCACTATGTTATAATTTGTAAAAAAAGTTCATGTGTTTGCTGAGTTGACTTAGGAAGTTAACAACCAATTTGTTTTCAAGAAAGACTATTAGAAATACTGCAATTCTTCTATATATTACTTGAATCTTTAAGAATATCAATAGATCTCTTAAACGAGAAATTCCAGGCTTTGAGAAGTCTGAGAAGACCCTGATCTTTGTATTCAAAAATTTGATTTGATGTGCAACTATATAGTTTTCCATAAATAAGATCAATAGCATTAATCAAATTCTCTAATATTCATAGTAATTATAAGAGTAATCATAGCTAATTAATATGTGCCAAGTATTGTTGACAGCATAGATGATTTTGTTTAACAACAACTGTGTTTCTACATAGGTATTATTATCCTATTCTTAAAAATAATATTTATTGTGAATATTGATGTAAATAAGGACATTGCAGTCCAGAGAAGTGAAATATCTTTCCTAATATTGAAAATCTGGCAAGTGTTAGAGCTGGGAATTGATTATAACCTGAACCTAGAACCCTCTATTGATAACGTGACTGGTTCCATGTCCCCACAAATTCTTGTTTATAATACTGTAAAAAGCAAAAGTAATATGCTATGCTATGAAAGAATTGAATATTATAGTATTCACTGATAATGCTTCTAATTTGAAGCAAAGTGTTTGAGGCTCACTATCTTATTCATAAAAGAAAACCTGAGTTTTGGTGTGTGCTGCCATGAACCTTTTCTTTGACCTTGATTATACCAGTTAGCCACCATCATCTTCAATGTATTAACTCCAAGTTAACAGGGTCAATCCGGATCAGTATTTTCCAAATTACTGCCCTAAACTCAAAAACTTTTTGTGTGATAGTTTGAAATGATAAATAAATAAACATGTCCATATTAATAATATATTTATTTCAATTTTAGTATTAGAAAAAATATAACGATCACATCAAATGTGTGACTTCATGCGTATTATCTTTTAGCAAGAGACTAATACTATTGAATTTAAAAAGAAAAAAGATAATTTATTTTAAAATGCTCTAATATGTAAAAATCATGAATGTGATACAGACTTCTTGGTAACAGTGAACTAGATAATTCTAAGAATAAATAAGATACAGGAAATAAGTTCCATGAACACATGGAATCTGAAACATGAAGGTATCAATAACTGTTGAATCAAATGAATGAATGAATAAATGAATATGAATTTTATGGCACACGCCTGTAACACCATAAACGGCACTTTTTAAAACAAATTTTTCTATTAAACAAAATTCATTCAACAAATTTATTCAACACATATTTATTAAGCCTTTGTTATATGCTCTGTCCATTTACCAGGTACAGAGGACACAGTGGTGAACCTGTTAGGCAGGATGTCATACAAGTCACCTAAATAGAAAACCCAAATAAATTATCTGACTGATTTACAAAAACATTTTCATTTTCTGATAAACACTATTGGATCATCTTACTGTTAAAGGGAAAAGAATATGGGGAAGACACAGAAAAAATAAAAATCATAAGTAAGAAGAACTATAATAAGTGTGTATTCGTCCATTCTCACACTGATATAAAAAATACCCGAGACTGGGTAATTTATAAATGAAAGAGTTAATTGACTCCCAGTTCCACATTGCTGGGGAGGCCTCGGGAAACTTGCAAGCATGGCAGAAAGGAAGGCAAACACATCCTTCTTCACATAGCAGCAGGAGAGAGAAGTGCCTAGCAAAGGAGGAAGGCCCCTTACAAAAAAATCAGCTTTTGTGAGAACTCCCTCCCTATCCCAGGAATATCATGAGGGTAACCACCCCATGATTCAATTACTTCCAACCCTGTACCCCCTTACAACACATGGAGATAATGGGAACTATAATTCAAGATGAGATTTTGGTGGGGACACAGGCAAATCATATCAAGGTGGAAAATGCTATAACAGATGCACAAAGAAGGCACCAAGAAAATATCAAGAAGAAAACAGTTTTAACTTGCAGGCAGAGTAAACTCAGCTTTAGTTTGTGGTGTTTCAAAACAACAGGACATGGTAGTGAGGAAATTTGTCTCCCTAGCAATTGCAGTATAGTTTTCTTTTCTTTTCTTTCTTTCTTTCTTCTTTCTTTTTTTTTTCTTTTTGAGACAGAGTCTTACTCTGTCACCCAGGCTGGAATGCAGTGACACGACCTCAGCTCACTGCAACCTCTGCCTCCCAGGTTCAAGTGACTCTCCTGCCTCAGCCTCCTAAGTATTTGGGACTACAGGCACCCACAACCACACACAGCTAATTTTTATACTTTTAGTAGAGATGAGGTTTTACCATATTGGCCAGGCTGGTCTTGAACTCCTGACCTTGTGATCCGCTCACCTCAGCCTCCCAATGTGCTGGGATTACAGGCATGAGCAACCACACCTGGCCACAGTATGTTTTTCTTTGTTAGTAAAAATAAAACTTTATAATTTATTTAGTTCTTATTATTTTCTAGGGACTGGTCCAAGTGCTTCATAAGCTTACCATTTTAAGTCTTACAACTCTCACGATCACTTAGGTGAAACTAAATTACTAAGAGACCTTCATCTGAAGGAGGCTTCCTGTTATAAAGATTCACCTACACTAATTAGTTATTTCTACAAATACAGAAATAATTTTCACTAAGAACCCTTTAAGAAAGAAAGAAAATCAGGTAACATATGACAGATTTTTGGTTAGTGTTTTTAAATTCTATCTGGATGTAGTTATGATTTCTATATTAGAGTAAATGGCTTCCACATTTGCTCATATATATATATATATATATATATATATATATATACCCACATATAATTTATGTAGCTGGGTGTCACACTTTTTACATATCTTTTTCAAATATGGCTTACACAATAAGACAGTAACTAATAATAAAATCTTTGGTCAGGTTGAAACTTTCCATGTGGTAAGAATTAGAATCTGTCAAGAAACAATGCCACAACCGTGTCACTTTTAAGAACTGTCACTGATCATGAATGCAAAAATTGTCTTGCTGAAAAAAAGTCACAGTCTCTACACACATGGCTGAGTATGTAGGTAAATAAACAACTGTCATAAAACCTGTGGATTGAAATATAAATTTATAATTGACCAAAATATAAGTATCTGCAGTCTTAACATGAAGATCAGAGTACTGCCCGAAAACAATGTTAGAGAAAGGTAATACGGTGAAAAAATCCTACATGTTTATACCTCATAAGAATCACAATTTTAAAGCTAATTGAACTCAGTTTATATTATTGAACTTAGTTGGCATTTATTTGTGTTTTCAATATTTCAGTTTATTTGTGTTTTTAATATTACATAATATGAATAAGTACTTACAGAGTGTTTAATTGCTATAACATTTTATTAGCATTACTTGTATAACTATTTTGCAATCTATAAATTAGATATATGTACATACATGTGTGCACGTATATGTGTATGTGTATACATATATAATCTCATTATTGACCATTTTCAAGTGAAAAACTGACATTAGGAAAGCATAAGCTGCTT